TAAAAGTCATCACTTGGTGCTTAAAGCATGTGAAGCGAGGGTTATAGCTTCAACAATGACCTGCAACCGGACAAGAAGTTGGTTGATTCTTTGAGGAGTTGGACTAATGTCTGCATCTTTATATATTGATACTGAAATTAGTTTTTTTAATTGCAGCTTGATAATTAGAGTACTAAATTCATCAGTATCTTTCAACTTTCGGTAAATTGCATTTCATTTCAAAGAAGCGTGCACTTGACTTCTCGCTTTTCGCCTCAAGCCTCATGGACCTTGTTGCTTTTTTGCGGTTTTCACTTTTAAAAACATTGGCTCTATATAAACTATCATGTTACATATTCTTGTTAGCTTAATGAAGGAAAAATAGCTCTATAGTAAACTCCTGTGATACATGTGATTAGCAAATTAAGTAGTTTGAGTTTCTTAAACAGAATTACAACTTCATAGGAGTACTAAGACTAGATACTGATGCTTAATTACCAGTGCAAGAGTATACTCTTAGAAGTTGCTAAAGTAACTTAAAGTATAGTGAACCATATTGTGCTAAGGCTTACTAGGGTAAGCAATTGAAGGCTATTGTCTCCTTGTTGGAATATTGAATGAGATATCAAAGTTTATGAAATTGATGGACAAAATTTACTGCTAGCTATGATAAACAATAGGATGATAATAAGGGGTGAGGGAAGTGGAAGTTCCCGAGGACTTCTCTGAATGTATTACTTTGCTTGAAAACAAATTGTTCGGATTGCATTGACAGTGTTGTTTTGAATAAAGTTGCTTGTGGCATCTTTCGTGACATAATCCCACTTCAAGGATGTGTAAGACTTTTTTAACTATACTGGCTTTTATATAACTTTCCGTATAGCTCATAACTTCAAAAATGAATGCTTTATATCCTCTTAATTTGTTTCCTAAGTGTCGTACTATGGATAAAATGTTTTCTAAGTTATTTGTAGTATATTTTGGTTGGTCTTTCTTGCATGACTGATGATAAGGTTTACTTTGATCATCTATTAGGCAAGCATGGCAGAAATTGGGTGCCATGCCTCCTGAAGAAGCCATGGAGAAGTATCTTGATATCGTGACTGAGTTATATCCTTCCTGGCTTTCTGGATCTGAAACTGTAAGACACACATCTTTGTTATTAATAGCAATCGATCATGACTTTGTTATCCTGGACTAAATGAATGTTCTACTTCTTTTTCTTCTCCCCCTGTCTTCTTATTGCTGTTTGGCCTCCTCAACATGCTCGAATAGAAAAAGAAGGACGAAGAAAGTAGTGTTGCTCGTAATGCAGATTCTAGAGGGCCAATGGGACCTGTTTTCAGTACCTTCATCGATGAGGAGGAATCCGGAAACGAGTTGTAAGGTTCTTCAACTTGTGTGAACCCAAACTTTTGCAGCCTAAGTGTTTTTTTTTCCCTTTAAAATGTGACTTGTATGACAATTTAAATGTGCCCCTTTTAGGTGTACTCAGTCCCAAAAAATTATCCCTTGCTATTTCGACCCATCCCATTTAAGTGTTGCACTTTTTTTAAAAGAAAAGTTCTGATACATGTTAATAACTCTAAAGCTTTTATAGGACCCAAGTTTACTATTTTAAATGCATTGAACTCACACTTTCTCCTAACAAAGACTAAGGAATTCATATTCTTCTAGTAAGTGTACGGATTACTATCACACTGGGGGAAGAGGG